CAAGATTTCACATTAACTTAAAATTCAAATCAGTCTTTACATTTCTTTACTGAGGTCTCCACCTTCTCCAGCTATCAGTGCTACCAGCATCCACAAAGTGAGCCCCATGGTCAGCCTCTTTGTTCCCTTGGTGAACCAACTAGATGTTAATACTGCTCTGCTACAGGTAAACGCTCCTAACTCAAAATTTTTCGTTCCTTTATTCTTTTACTGCTTTATCTAGAAAATAACTTCCTAATGTAGCACTGAGACTCTTTTAACATTATATATATATGCATATGTATGTGTAAACACATATACACGCACACACACCACTGTAGTGGTGCACCTTCGGATTCTTCCTCTTCTTCCCCATCTCACTGTCCCTCCCCCAGGCAATCACTGTCCCTCTTTTTATGACTGAAGATTAGCTTTGCATTTTTAAAAATTATATATAAATGAAATATATAGTACATGCTTTTATTTATGGAGAAGAGGATGTCTGTAATCTCTGACCAAAATCTCCTTTTCTTCTATCACCAATGCCCACCTCTGGGCAAAACCATTTTATTCAGTTTCTATAGTTTGGCTTTTTTAGATTCCACATATAAGTCATGGAATGTGGAATATGTTGTGTTTCCGTATTTGTTTCTTTCATGATGTTTTCTGATTTCCCTTTTATTTTTTGAGTGGTTGCATTTATTTTTTGACCAACCACTGGTTGGTTAGAAGTATGTTGTTTAATTTCCACATATTTGTAATTTTCAAGTTTTCTCCCTTTTGTTGATTTTTAATTTTATACCACTGTAGTCAGAAAAGATAACTGGTATGATTTCAGTCTTGTTAAACTTGCTAAGATTTGTTTTGTGACCTAACATGTCCTTGTTTTGAAATGGTGCTTTTCTTTCCATTTGCATGGAATAACTTTTCATCTTTTTACATGATACACGGATAAGTCCATGTGTGCCCTTAAAGCTGAAATGAGTCTCTTATAGGCAGCATACAGTGTGGCCTTTTTCTTGTCTTTAATACATTCTGATATTGTCACTTAATCAGAGAATTTAATTCATTTGCATTTAAAACAATTACTGATAGATAAGAACTTACTAATATTATGTTATTGTTTTCTGGCTGTTTTACAGGTCCCTTATTCCTTTCTTCTTCTCGTTATCTTCCCTTGTGAATTGATAATTTTCTATACTGGCATACTTTCTAGAGCGGTATCCCTTCTTTTAATCTCTTGTGTGTTTATTGTGGGTTATTAATATGTAATTACCATGAGATTTCCGTATAACATTTTACAGGATATAACATTATAGTTTACACTGGTAAAAACCTAAGTTCAATCCCATATAAAGCTCTACCTTTTACTTCCCCAAACATTGTTTTTGATGGCACAATTTATATTTCTATATTATGTATTCATTATAGCTATAGCTATTTTTAATACCTTTGTCCTTTAACTTTTAATCTAGATTTACTTAATCAACACACATTACAGTATTAGATTATACTGATTTTGACCATACACTTACCTTTTCCAGTGTATTTTATATTTTCATATTATGAACTAGTGCCCTTTCAATTCAGACTGAAGAACTCCTTTCAGCACTTTATTAAGGTCTAATGATCAACTCCCTCCATTACAAGTATCTCCCACTTTCCAAAACTTTGAATTATGCCACTTTGCTTTCTTAGAAGGCCTACATTCAGTTCAGTTCAGTCCAGTCACTCAGTCGTGTCCGACTCTTTGTGACCCCATGAATCGTAGCACACCAGGCCTCCCTGTCCATCACAAACCCCCGGAGTCTACTCAAACTCAAGCTCATCGAGTCGGTGATGCCATCCAGCCATCTCATCCTCTGTTGTCCCCTTCTCCTCCTGCCCCCAACCCATCCCAGCATCAGGGTCTTTCCCAATGAGTCAACTCTTCGCATCAGGCCAAAGTATTGGAGTTTCAGCTTCAGCATCAGTCCTTCCAATGAACACCCAGGACTCATCTCCTTCAGGATGGACTGGTTGGATCTCCTTGCAGTCCAAGGGACTCTCAAGAGTCTTCTCCAANGTATTCCCATCTCTTGGACAATTTTCCACAGTTTATTGTGATCTACACAGTCGAAGGCTTTGGCATAATCAATAAAGCAGAAATAGATGTTTTTCTGGAACTCTCTTGCTTTTTCGAAGATCCAGCAGATATTGGCAATTTGATGTCTGGTTCCTTTGCCTTTTCTATAACCAGCTTGAACATCTGGAAGTTCTCAGTTCACATATTGCTGAAGCCTGGCTTGGAGAATTTTGAGCATTACTTTACTAGCGTGTGAGATGAGTGCAATTGTGCGGTAGTTTGAGCATTCTTTGGGATTGCCTTTCTTAGGGATTGGAATGAAAATGGACCTTTTCCAGTTCTGTGGCCACTGCTGAGTTTTCCAAATTTGCTGGAATATTGAGTGCAGCACTTTCACAGCATCATCTTTTAGCATTTGAAATAGCTCAACTGGAATTCCATCACATCCACTAGCTTTCTTCGTAGTGATGCTTTCTAAGGCTCACTTGACTTCACATTCCAGGATGTCTGGCTCTAGGTGAGTGATCACACCATTAGCTCCACCAACTGTGGCTGACTTGCTCTATAAATCTCAACAATCCTCTCAGGCAATAAACTGCTCCAGAGAACAAACCGATCAAATCAGGTTATTTTGATGGGAGAGCTCTAGAGGTCAATGTTTGAGATCTGGCCCTCCCTATCATAAGTGGTCTCCTCCCAGCAAGCCTGAAGTTAAACTTGCATGTCCAATTAATCTAACAATCTCTTCCCAATTGGGGGCAGGAGGAGGAGGGGACGACAGAGGATGAGATGGCTGGATGGCATCACCGACTCGATGGACATGGGTTTGAGTAAACTCCAGGAGTTGGTGATGGACAGGGAGGCCTGGCGTGCTGCAATTCATGGGGTCATAAAGAGTTGGACATGACTGAGCGATTGAACTGAACTGAACTGACCACCTCCACTGTTTTTGAGAGTACCCTTAGGCTTGAACTTCTACACTCTGTTGTAAACACAGCTCCTTTGGGAAGAGATTATGAGCTGTGTTGTAGCCCATTCCTCATTGCAGGCAAAATCTCTGAGCTATAGCTATGAATTTGGGAGTGTAGACAATGGCATACTTCTGAGCAACACTCCATTTCCAAAGGATGAGTATTTGGTAGGTGTGGGAGGTAGTGCAGTAGCCTCTGGTGTTCTTAACTTGCCACTATTAGTATGGAACCACTACCTACATGCTAGAGCCAGGTTAAGGGCAACTGGGCTCTCAGTGTTCTCAGCAGCACTGTGCCCTAAGTAGAGTTTTCATCCCAGAAGTAAGGTGTGGGCAAAAGAAGGCAGCCATTACCACTCAGTCACACTTGACCAGCAAAAGGCAGATAGAGGCAGGGTGAGGAATGCTCTCATACTGCTCTTCCCTGGAAGACAGCCCTCCTCCTTGGAGTAGGAGCCTTCCTACTCCTACTCCAAGGGAACTCTGGGGAAAGGAAACCCTATTTTCTTGATAATACCAATCTATAATAGAGTTACCATATTGCTCAGTTGGGAGAAGTGTTAGTCGCTCAGTTGTGTCTGACTCTTTGCAACCCCATGGACTATAGCCAACCAGGCTTCTCTGTCTGTGGAATTATCCAGGCAAGAATACTGGAGTGGGCAGACTATCCGTTCTCCAGAGGATCTTCCAGAATCAGGAATCGAATTCACGTCTCCTGCACTGAAGGCAGATTCTTCACTGTCTGAGCCAACAGGGTAGTGGTTCAGTTGGGAGAGGAGGCGGAAAAACAAGTCTTGGTTCAAATACCACAGGTTCTTTCCCAAAATTTAGTAAAAATGCTTTGAATAAACGTTTCTTCAATTGCTGCAGGGCCTTTAGAACATTTCCAGACGTTAATTAAAAAAAAAAGTGTTACCAATTTCGCTGCGGAGTGGGTCCAGAGCTCATGCCATCCATGCTGTCTCTCTCAGTCCAAATTCCTAAGCTTACAAAGGTTCTACACGATCCAGTTCCTACACATCATTGTATCTCATACTTTAGCACTTTTTCTTTACTCACTCTGCTCTAATCTCTGTCCTAAAAAGGGTGGTCTTCCTTAGGATCTTTTTTATTTTCTGTCCTCTGTGCTAAACTCTTTCTTCACATTTCTCCATGAAAAAGTTCTTTCTCATTTCATTCAGGTCTCAGCTCAAATGTCATTCAAAGACATTCTCTAAAACAGTATACCTGCCATTCACTCTTTACCAATGTATTCTGCTTTGATTTTCTTCAAACCACCTAAATTTACTTAACATTCACTTTCCTATTTGCTTAGGGTCTGTTTCCCACACTTGATTAAGAGCTCTAGGAGAGCAGGGGACCTTGCCTGTCTTATTTGCTACTGTACGTCTAGTATTTAGAACAGTACTTGACACAAAGTCAATACTCAATAAATACTTGTATAAAAACCAAACGGAAATCAAAGTATTTTTAAAGCTACTTACATTTTAAATGACATTAATAGGTAATCTGTTTTTATTTATATCCAAAAAGAGCAGAAACAGTAACAGAGTATGGAAGAAGATGTAACAGTGATCTATTTTGCTGAGAAAACAAACAGAAATGGCCAAAAGCCAGGAATTTTAAGTCCTGTTTTAGTAATTCTAAAACTCATTTTCATAAATAGCAGTGCTGACCTGCCACTGCCTTTACACTACATATAAAAGGCCCACAAGAATTACTCAATGGTAACACGAAAACAAAACTAAAATCACAAATGTTTATACTATGATCACTAATTTTTACAGAGCCAGAGATAACAGATTTAGAAGCTAATCAAATTGAATATTCATAATCAGATATATTTGTAAAGAAAACTCTTTAGCATTAAAAAAATGATATTATTTCCATGTTCTCACTATCATTCCATATACCTTCCTATTAAGGCCAAGTTTTGCAATGACTTAGCAAGGCTAAGCAAAAGGAACTTAGGTTATGGAGTTTTACCTTGAGTCCTGTTTTCTCGTCATCACTTCCATTATTTGTAGATGGTGTCTCATCTCCTTGCCTGGAAACCAAGACAAAATCTTCACTATTAAGAGTAGACACAGAGTCTGAGGAGACACTGATTTTTCCAACAGAAGCCTTGTCATCCATGACTCAAGAATGAAGCTCAACTCATGAATGATTAAATATTTTAAAAATGCCTGAAAAACAAAAAGCCATAAAGATACTCATATAGAATGTCTGCCAGATATTCAATTATGTTCTAAGTTTTACAAATTACATATGGAAAAACTTAAATAAAAAAAAAACTTTCAAAATACTTTCCAAAGATTTTTGCTACTTACAGGTTAGGCTTTTTATTCCATATATAAGGGAATTCGATGAAATTCAGGGCCAAGGTAGTTCAGATTTCAAAAAAATAAACAAAAACATTCCCTTGAGAATAACTCTGCCTACTTACACTGATTTCTTCAGTATTCTGGTAACTCTATTCTTTTCAGAGAACATAAAAAAGTACTGAACTTACTGTCTATCCTTTTCTTTGTAAAACTGCACAAACAAATGAAATTGAAAGCACTTAAGACAATAAACATGCATGTAGGACAATAAGGTTTCCCGAACATTGCTGATACTTATATTAAACATGTTTTAAGAAATGAAATTTCATATTAACCCCAGAGAAAACTAAATTCAGGGCAAGCATAAATTTTAGAGCAGGGAAATACTGTATATAGCAAGAATTCAGAGGTCTATTAAAAACTCGATAATCCCATACCAGAGTTTCTTAGAACTCAACTCAAAATGAACATTATCAATAAAGAAGTTTCAGGCCAAAAATTTCCAGCAAGAAGCAGAAAAAAATGTGTCAGTTATGAAAATCCATTCAATTATTTATTGACTCATGGAATAAAACTCAAACTCATCTATCATTTAAAAATCTGGTTCTGCATATTTTGTGGCAATGTTCCCATTTGGTTGCCAAAACAACCACAGAACAAACAATACAACACTATACTCAGCCTTAACCAAGAAACAAAACTTGCTCTTTAAAAAAGTTGCTCTCGCTCATCTTATATACCTCAAAGAGGTAAAAATTCTGAGAATTTGTTTATTAAAGAAGAGCTCTGGATCTATGTTTTGGATTTTTAATTGAACATATATTTACTGAGCAATACACTATATGCCAAGCACTGTTTTTCCCTCAAAAAGCTAACATCTGGCTAAGCACCTGGCAGCAAAAACTACACAAACCCTGAATACTATAGTTGGAAGAAAACTTACCAGTTATCAGTACTGTTAAACAGATAAGGAAATGGCAACCCCAAGAGTTGTAAGGTCATTTAATCAGGTATAACTAAAGCTCAAACCCTGGACTCCTTGCTGCTTTCTATTTAAGCTGATTTCCTTGTTTAAAGGCTCAACATCTTATAGGACTATATCTAAACGCATAGTGTAGCATAGAGATGCTTCAAATGTACTTCTGAAAACTTTAAAAAAAAATGCTGTCCTGCTTCATTCATGCAATGAATATTTCCCAAGTTTCTAGTTTATAAAGAACAAAATATGCTAAACAAGAAAAATTAGATTCTTACCCAAAAGCAATTTATAATTTGGTAGAGAACAAAGGGATATTGAACAAGTTAGTAAGTACTGATTTAGGGTAAAGAAAACTATGGAAACATGCTGAAGAATTAAGAAATACAGTAGAGGAGGAAATGTCTTTGCTGAGGATATATATTTTAATCCCTTGAGGTGTCTGCCCTCATAGGATCTTCGTCCTAAAGTGCTTCCCTTGCTTTAGTACTGAGTCAACTCCAAATAATCATTCGTGACCTAATAATCCTCCTTTTCCAAGAAGCCTGCCATCTCCTCAGAGTCAAAAGCACTGCCCACCTCATTTCTGTTCCCATAGCAGTTTTACATTTTAACAGTACCTATTATATTGTGTTACATCAAACTTAATACTCACATATCTGTTTCACAGATTAGCAAACTGAGGCTTAGAGAGATGGTATAATTTGTTCAAGGTAATGGTTGTAATTTAACTGGTTAGAAGCAAAGCCAAAAACTTTCATTTAGATGGCAATGCTTTTCCCATGTGACACATCTGGGCTTTGTTCCACAACAGTCAGTATCAGATAAAGAAGTCTCTATCTTTTTTAGAACTTGTCCTTTAGGAAAGGTTTTCATGCTTAATTAGTCTTTTTTCCATGTTTTTAAAAATGTTACTAATAGTAAGATAGCAGAGGGCCTGGGAAAGTTCACTAAAGCAATGATCTCAGAGACACTGACAACTTTCTACAATATTCTAGACTCAAAAATAATACACTTTGGTATTTACACTACGGAACTGAAAAGATTTGGCAGGCTCCAAGTTCAACCTATTTTCTTTGAGGAGGTGACAGCAAAGTACACTTTATAAGATACTTTACTGTTTGTTTTGGCACCTGAAAGTAACTGAACCACGCAGGAGGAATGAGACTTATCAAAACACTAGGCAGTACAGGGGGGTTATGTAATAAGGCCCCCCTTTTCCAGCCTCCATGGGCAGAAGTGGAGAGTCAGTCCACAAGCTCTAAGGATTCTAGATAAGACCACCCCACCCTCCCCTGGTCTCCACAGCAAAGAGGTACTCCAGAACTTCATATACTCCTGCAAAAATTCTAGAGTATTCACAATCTCTGTCTTGAGACCATAAGAACTAATTTTGTTGTTTTTCATCTCTACTTATACCAGCTACCACAAGAAGCTCCCTACTCTAATTCTCATGGACACTAAAGTACAAACTTCCTCCCCCCAAACACCCTCCGCTACCATCCCTCTTCCTATTTTTCTCCATACCATCTATCACTGTTTGACACATCTACCTAGTAATCATAATTTGCTTTTAAATATCACAAGGATATTTATGGGCACAAATAAATAAGCATAAATAAATAAGTAAGCATAAGGGCAGGGATTTCTGCCTGTTTCATTAGCTGCTGTAGCCCTAACAAGTGAAAGAATAACTGGCCATAGTAGATGCTCAAAAGTGTACTAAAGAAATAGGATAAATGGCGAATAAAAGGCGTAAGATAACTAGAACCACCCAATGAGCAAGACCAAGGCAAGAGCAACTTTTACAGACTGACAGTAAGAACAGAAGTCATTCTTTATGATGGTAAAGCGAACAGTTTAGAGTTAGAAAAAAATCCGAGTTAGTGTGCTGGTTCTATCACTGAATAATGGTGTAAGCTTGGTCATACCAAGCCTCAGTTTCCGTAAATGAAAATGGTGTACTACCTACCTCATAGAGTCATTATAAAAATTACTCTCTGTAGCACTGACATATATACCCTACCATGTGTAAAATAGCTAGTGGGAAACTGCTGGTATAACAAGGGAGCTCAACTCGGTGCTTGGTGACAACCAAGAAGGGCAGGGATGGGGGATGGGAAAGAGGCTGAAGGGGGAGGGGATACATGCACACTTCTGGCTGATTCATGTTGCACAGGAGAAACCCAGACAACACTGTAAAGCAATTATCCTCCAATTAAAAACACTAAGGAACAGACATAAGGGATATAAGCATATCTAAGAGCCAACTGCTATTGAAGGATGGTCAAGAGCCTTGATCATGACCATTTTCCATTTCACTCTTTCCTTAACTGGAGAGTGAAACCAACTCCAAATTTTTAAAGAACTAACAAATATCAACCGATTTTGGGAATTCAGAAAACAATATTAGCACAAAATATACGTAACACTTCTAGTTCCAGTCTAATTTGAAAGTGAAAGTGTTAGACGCTCAGTCGTGTCCGACTCTTTGCAGCTCCACAGACTGTAGCCCACCAGGCAAGAATGCTGGAGTGGGTTGCCATTCCCTTCTCCAAGGGATCTTCCCAACCCAGAAATCGAATCAGCTCTCCTGCACTGCAGGCATATTCTTTACTGTCTGAGCCACCAGGTCAGGATCTAATTTTTTTATACTTAAGTAAACATAAAAGAATACTTTGTATCTCTGTGCAACACTTTACAGATTACTAAAATGTACACCTTCATCTCATTTTATCATTCTAACAACTCTGTATCTGGGAGGCACTCAGTTTGTCTCCCTTTATATAAGTGATGAGCCTAGACCCTTACGACACGTCCAGTTACCAACAGGGCCAGGTTGGTGAGTACTAGTGCAGGGATGTTTCATTCTATCTCCTTTAGTAAGTCAAGTAACTTAAAATGAGAAGTAATTTTACTTAATTATGCAACCTCATGCATCAAAACCAAAGGTTCAGTTATGTTATAGTTCCCTCAGTGTCAACTCTATGCTCAACCACGCACCTTTGCAAAGACTGTGGTATAAAATGTACCTCAATCTTGTTGAATGAACAAAGATTCATTTTCGTTCTCAATCTCCTCTTAAAACTGTAAAAATGCTAAAGAAGAGTGAAAAGGCAAAGAACTCGCCACGATAAGAGCTCTTTTGATAGTTCTTCAAAAGCGGTCTGCTCTTGGATAACCAGTGCTTACTTTTTAAAAACTTGAACTTTTGGACAGAATATCATCAGATATTTGTATTTTTCTAACATTATTCAGAGCAGTAACATAAACAGTGAACTTGCAGTGGTATGAATTTGCTAATGTGCAATTAGTAGAGCAAAAATCACCTCCCAACAAGTGACCTACCAGACCTGATAAAAGAGATGTGACTGATACTTGTAATCGAACTTGACATGCTTGGGACAATCAGAATACTTGTTTCTGGCCACTAGTCCAAGCACACCAGTTCATATTTATTTTCTTGATTTTCCTAACATTCTTCCTGAAGGAGTATTAACTCCTCCTCCACTTCAATAGGGCTCCCCACTCTCACCAAGCAGTGCCTCTCAAAATCTGGCTACTGTAACTCTCACCAACCCTTACTAAACCTCATCTTTTAAAACCTGAATTCAAACCTTGTCCATGTGACGTTGGGTATTTTAACACTCTGAGCATTCATTCAGAAAGGAAAAAATACACATGTGTGTGTGTATATGTATGTGTGTACAGACACACATACATATTTATAAATAAATAAAAATCAACAATACAAAATTTAAAAACCCAAACAATTCTTTTCGGTTCTCATCTTATTTCCTCCGGCTGAAATAAATGAAAACGCTTATCATTGCCTTATTGTGAAACTCTTTTTGCTTCATTTTCACCTCTAGTACCTTTTATCATT